CAGGAGAGCGGAGACTATGTGGTCAGGTCCCCAGGGCGCCGACTTGTACAAGGAGCGCCAGACGAGCCTGCCCCCCCTGTCCACGCCCCCTCCACCAATGGGGACAGCCTGACACCGCATCCACAGGGTAAGGGGGCGTGGCTTTTGTGCTTCATTGTGTATCGGTTTATATTTGTTTTTGTTTTCTTGCTTTTTTGTTTATGCTTTCAGTGTGTAATGATATTTTAATGCTGCGATCCTGTTTTGAGGATGGTATTTAATACCCTGTAATCCTATACCCCTCCCCCCCCCTCCACCTACATCCTCACTCCATCTTATCCACCCTACCTGCCTCATCCACCCGCCTACATTCGTCCACTTCACCTTCTCTCCCATCCTCTCCTTACTTCACCTCACCACTATCATCCGCCGCCCATCCACCTCTCCTCCCACCTCATCCACCTACCTACCTTCCCTACCCACCCATCCACATCCACCCACTCATCCTCATCCACCCACCCACCCACCTCATCACCTACCTACCCTCCCTACCCACCATCATCCACCCACTCATGCTCATCCACCCACCCACCCACCTCACTCTACCCTCCCTACCTCACCTGCCTCATCCACTCCCTACCCCCCCACCCCTCCTTCCTCCACCCCACCTCATTCCTCACCTCCCCTCCAACCACCTCCCACCTCCACCCTCCCTTCCCACCACCTTCTCACAATCATCCACCTTCACCTTCCCTCACACCATTCCTCCAACTCACCCACCCACCCTCCTCCCCCCACCTCATCCACCCAATCACCACCCTCCCAACCTCCTCCACCTCACCCATCCCACCTCACCTCACCCACCCACCACCCACCCCACCCACCCACCCCACTCCTCCCACCCCCCACCACACCCACCCACCCACCACCCTCCTCCACCATCCCACCCACCCCCCAGGAACCAGAGAAGGCGCAGATCGCGGGCGCAGTCGGTGCTCTACCCCTACATCCACGGGCGCACGAGGAAGGGCGGCGGGAGCTCGCAGTCACGACGGTGTCTTCGAGGCCGAGCTCTGCCAGGGCGCTGTCGGGACGCTCCAAGGACGACTCCAGGATACACTACGAGCTGCCGATGGAGGAGGCGGAGGATAGCAGGTGGGCTGGGGTTGGGCTCTGTTTTTTGGGTTGTTGGTGGTGTTTTTGTTTTTTTTGGGTGGTGTTTGACTTTTTTTGTTTGTTTGTTGTTGTTTGTTTGTTTTTTTGGGTTTATTTGTTCGTCTATTTGTTTTTTGTTTGTTTGTTTTTTATTTTTGGTTGTTATTTTTTTTTTTTTTTTTTTTTTTTGGGGGGGGTAGTTATTTAATTGTTTTTTGGGGGGGGAGGTTGTTGATTCATTGCAGGTTATCACTTTTTCCTTGTCTTTTATTCTCTTGTTATTTCGCGTTTTTATGATAGATTTATGAATGGGAGGACAATAGTCAGAGATTTAGTTGTTATTGTCTTTATTTATTTTGTTTGTTTTGGGGGGATGATTTTTTTTGTTTGTTTGTGTATGGAGATGTGTGTTTCTGTATACTGGTCAGCTGATTTGTATATGTTTCTGCATTTAATCATATAAGTTGTAAGTAATTTTTGTTTTTAGACGAGCAAGCATTATTCTCACGCGTATGAACACACACAAAAACACAGACACACACAAACAAATAATACACACACAAACAAACAAACACACACACACAAACACACAAAACACACATACAAAAAAAACACACACATAAACAAACAAACACACACGTATACACGCACATAAACAAACATCCCCCCACAAACACACAAGTACACACAAACACCCACATACACGCATACACACACACTACTTCACACACACCTACAAACACAAACCAAACCCACAGTCAAACATTAAAAATACACAATCACAATATACTCGAAAAAATAGAAAAAAAATCCTCAAAGTCCAATAAAAAGGGGAAAAATAACGCAAATCCAAATGTTATCTTTATCTCCTTTTTTATCTTTCTTATCCTGCCTTTCCTTTCTTATCTTATCTTTCCAGTGATATCAGTTATCTCGGGAAAAGGGGTTATTCCTTTAACCTCCTTCTGAACGTGACAGAAACAGGCTGGTAATTACATTCCCATTACTTAAATTCCTATAATTACTTATTACATTCCTACTTAAATTCCTATGATCACATGTCTAGTTGCATTTCTATTTAACATTCTACTTAATTCCTATAATTACATTCCTATGATTACATTCCTACTTAAATTCCTATGATTACATGTCTAGTTACATTTCTATTACATTTCTACTTAAATTCCTATAATTACTATATGATTAATTCTAGATTACGTCTATTACATCTATCATTACATGTTCATTCTATGTACATATGATTACATTCCTATAATTTCATTCCTAGTTACACTCCTATGATTACATTCCTAGTTTCTTTCTTATAATCACATAGCTAATTACATTCCCAAAATTTCTTTCCTAATTGCATTCCTATGATTACATACCTAATTTAATTCCTATCATTACTTTCTTAATTACATTCCTATAATGACATTGCTGACTACATCCCTAATTGCAATCCCATTTACATATGTATATCTAAACAGTAAAAACCTTTTTCACATATATCTATATTTCATTTAATCTTTGATAACTTTTCAATAACATTTCTATCTACTTTCTCGTGAGTATTCATGACCTGTTCATTAAGGTCTTAGCAAAGTAGAAATCAAAATAATAATGATAATGATAACGGTGATGACATTGATAATGACGATAATGATACTGGTAATTATTGTGTTGGGAATTATGATTATGATAATAATGATGTTAATGATGATAATACTGATGTTTATTCTAATAATATTCAAAGAATATTGAATTCACAAACCTAAAATATCATGAGAATAATAATATTATATCCAACAACAGCTGATATATTACTATGATAATATGCGAAAAAATACATCAGGTATTTAATTTTCTCATTAATTATCATCCTTAATAACACCTTGATTAACTGCTCTTCATTTGCTAATTACCTTGCAAGGCCTTAATCAACAGGTAGCAACCTTACGACCTCTAATAGACTTAAACAAGCTCCCTCTATCTACCCTTATCTACGTCCGGGGTAGATAAAGTAGATTCTTTCCTTGAGTAGAGAGGGAAGCCAAGTAGATATGACATACACACTTATAATATATTATATTATACCCTTAATCTACAACACAAAAGCCATATTTAGTATTCTTGTACATAAATGTATTATATTTTTTAAAGATCTTTGGGAATGATCTCTGCTAATCCACGAGACGATAATGACTGCCCTTAATTACGCACACAGTCATTAGTAGAAAGCGCCTTCGGTAATTAAAACGCTGTTAAATAGAGGGCGGACCTCCTGCCGGTGCAATAAGGGCTAATTTGCTTCTTTAAGACTGCGGGCGATGTGCTCTACCCTCGTCCCTCTGAGGGCAGGGAATTGAAGATTTTATTTTATATCATTGTTTTTGTTTTTGTTTTTACTTTGTTTATCGTATCCTTTTAGTAGTTATTGTTTTTGCATTTGTGTTTATGCTTATTTTTATTTTCATAAGCATTGTCATGATTACTATCCATGATAATGCTAGCACTAATATTATTATCATTATCATAATCATCATTATTGTTAATGTTATTATGATCTTCAATCTCATTTCTACTAATACTATTAATGATGTTTGTTGTCGTTTTCATTTTTATTCATATTCTTATCTTTCTCATCCTTCCTATTCTTATTCTCCTACATTATACTTTTACTCAATCGTTTATTCTTATTTACTCAATCGTGTATTCTCAATATTCTCTTCTTTCTTATTTCAACAAATAGATTTCAATATTCTTACTTGATGCACAAGTAAACACACACATGAGTATATCTGAAAATCAAACAATATAAGGAAATGTGCACAATCATACACATACATGCATACACGTGAATCTATACACACAAAGATATATAAATACATGTATACACGTATAAATAGATAGATATATAGGCAGATAGATAGATAGATAGATAGGCAGATAGATAGATATATAGATAGACTGTTATATGCATACATACATAAAAATATGTGTGTGCACAAACATACACACACACATATGCACATATGTGCATATATGTAATAAATAAATAAATTGATAAACATATATATATATATATATATATATATATATATATATATTATATATATATATATGTATATGTATGTATATATATATATATATATATATATAGATATAGATATAGATATATAGAATATAGATATATAGATATATAGATATATGCATGCATACATATGTGTGTGTGCTGTGTGTGTGTATGTGTATGTGTTTATGTATATATGTATATATATACATATATATACATATATATATATATATATATATATATATATATATATATATTATGTATGTATATGTGTGTGTGTGTGTGTGTGTGTGTGTGTGTGTGTGTGTGTGTGGTGTGTGTGTGTGTGTGTGTTGTGTGTGTGTGTGTGTGTGTGTGTGTGTGTGTGTGTGTGTGTGTGTGTGTGTGTGTACGTAAGTATATGTATACCTATATATTCATATATATAAGTACATAGGTATAAAAGATAAACAGACAGATAGACAGATAGATAGATACATAAGAGCGCCTACGTCAGCTCAGTCCCCACAGCTGACCCTCCCAACTCAAAGACGACCTTCCCTCCACTTAACCCTAATCCGAGATCCCATCAGACAACGAAATTGGCACCACGATCACCTCCTCTGGCGTAAATGACCTTTATTAATGGCTCTGATGACTAAGATTCGAAGGCACTCTCCTCCCGTGGGGTCTCGTTGGCCATTAAGGTAATCAGTGGTCATTACGTGTTGTTATTTAGATACACTCGCGAGTGTTTTTCGTTGCATAGAATTATTGGAAGTGGTTTTATGTACAGGGGTCAAGGTAGATGTAAGATGCATGGCTGTAAGGACGAATATGTACATTATATACGTCTGTGTGAGAATGAATAGTAATACACACTCACACACACACAGACACACACACAAATATACACGTACAGAGACACACATTCACGCTTATGTGCACAAACATACACACATGTACATACATATTTGTATACACGTTCAGAAGGAACAACTACTGTACATACAATTTGACCGTAAAGTAATAAAGATTAGTACACAGTATTTTCGTTTAATTCATTAATCGAAAAAATGAATATCGAATAAAACATAAGCTTAATTTAGTCTTGATTAAAAATCCTGCGTATTGCCTTCTTTAACGGTAAAATTAAACGAACTTCCTTTCCTTTCTCTTAATGTCTATTGATTCTCTCTCTCTCTCTCTCTCTCTCTCTCTCTCTCTCTCTCTCTCTCTCTCTCTCTCTCTCTCTCTCTCTCTCTCTCTCTCTCTCTCTCTCTCTCTCTTTCTCTTCTCTTTCTCTTCTCTCTCTTTCTCTCTCTTCCTTTCTCTCTCTCTCTCTCTCTCTCTCTCTCTCTCTCTCTCTCTCTCTCTCTCTCTCTCTCTCTCTCTCTCTCTCTCTCTCTCTCTCTCTCTCTCTCTCTCCTCTCTCTCTCTCTCTCTCCTCTCTCTCTCTCTTTTCCTCTCTCTCTTCTCTTTCCTCTCTCTCTCTCTCTCTTTCTCTCTCTCATTTTCTCTTTCTCTCTCTGCCTTCGCCTCTTCTCATTCAATATATTCCTCCATTCCTTCTCCTCTCCCTTTCTAAATCACTATCATTTTGCCCTCTTAACACTCAGCATCTACACTCTATCATAATTATCTTTGTCTCCCCTCTAATACCCTTCTCTAATCCTCGTTTAGCTTATTTCTGTCTTAATCGGTCTTCAACATTTTGGAAAGTGGTATTCCCTAAAAAGAAAATTGATTGGTTAAAAAAAAACACTTTTTTCTTGTTTCGTTCATTACTTTATTTTGTTTTTTTTTTATTTTTATTCTTCTATTTTCCTTTCCTGGCCATCACCCACTTTCCTTCTCTCGTTATCTATCTATTCACCATCTATCTGGTTTATGTCTATCTATCTATCTAGTTTTCTGTCTATCTATCTATTTCTATATTTCTAGTTATCTAAATATTCATCCATCTATCTGCTTTCTCTCCCTCTCTCTTCTCTCTCCTCTCTCTCTTCTCTCTCTCTCTTCTCTCTCTCTCTCTCTCTCTCTCTCTCTCTCTCTCTCTTCTCTCTCTCTCTCTCTCTCTCTCTCTCTCTCTCTCTCTCTCACTCCTCACTCCTCTCCCTCTCCCTCTTCCCCACTCCTTCCTTCTCCCTCTCTCTCTCCCCATCCTTCTCCCTCTCTCCCTCTCCCACTCCTTCTCCCTCTCTCTCTCTCCCTACATCCCTACCTCTTCCCTCTCACAACCTCCGCCCACCTCTTCCCTCTCCCTCATATTCCCCTCTTTATCCCCTTTCTCTCCCCAGGGCGCACCTTCCCTCCGACCCGTGGCGTGCAAGGAAGGTGCGCTTCTACAGGAACGGAGACAGGTACTTCCCCGGGTTTGATTACATCTTCAAGCCAGGTCGAGATGTTGTGAATATGGAGGCCCTCTGCGACAAGATCTCGGATAGAATCGGTGAGTCGGGTTGTGTTGTTTGTTGTTTGTTTTGTTGTGTGTGTGTTGTATTTGTATTATTTTTTCATTTTGTTGTTGGTTGTTTTTGTCTAAATAGATATCAATAATTAATCTGTATGTCTTTGGTATGGAGAGAAGAGAGAGAGAGAGAGAGAGAGAGAGAGAGAGAGAGAGAGAGAGAGAGAGAGAGAGAGAGAGAGAGAGAGAGAGAGAGAGAGAGAGAGAGAGAGAGAGAGAGAGGGAAGGAGTGAGAGAGAGAGAGAGAGAGAGAGAGAGAGAGAGAGAGAAGAGAGAGAGAGAGAGAGAGAGAGAGAGAAGAGAGAGAGAGAGAAAGAGAAAGAGAGAGAAGAGACAGACAGACAGACAGAAGAAGGTAGGAGAGAAAGAGAGAGAGAGAGAGAGAACAAAAAAAAAATATATATCTGACAATTATACCAAAAAAAGAACATACTTAATAAAACATACATCAAGAGTATACGAAACAAATACGTAAATATTCTCACAGCACAACGTCTGTTCATATGTGCGTGTCAGAAAGAGGAATATTGACTGCCATGACCCATGTGTCCCGCGCGGCACTAGCCTTGTGTGTAGGTGCCAGGGTGCCATTGTTCTCCAGGTGTGTATTCGAATGTGCGTGTGTGTGTGTGTGTGTGTGTGTGTGTGTTGTGGTGTGTCTGCTGTGTGTGTGTGTGTGTGTGTGTGTGTGTGTGTGTGTGTGTGTGTGTGTGTGTGTGTGTGTGTGTGTGTGTGTGTGTGTGTGTGTGTGTGTGTGTGTGTGTCTGTGTGTCTTTGCTGTGTGTGTGTGTGTGTGTGTGCGTTTTCGAGGTGTGTGTGTAGGTATGCGTGTTGTATTCGTGTGTTTATTTGGATGCGTTAATACCTAATTGTGTCTGTTTATTAATAAATGTGTGTTTGTCTATGTGCACACGTATACTTTTGTGAACGAATGTGTCTATTTGTTATTGTTATTGCTATAAAGGTCATATGTATGTGAAAGCTCAATACTACTAGGATTCTTGTCCTCGTGGCGCTGTGCGTGTGGGAAATGCCCCATGATCACGCGCATACACGCACACCATATACTTTTGATATATCCTGTGACCTTTGTATTGGCTTCTGTGACCTCAGAAGCACGTACAGGACTAAGCTTTGTATTGGCTTCTGTAAATACAACGATATCTTTTTCATGTATGCTTAAGATCTCTCCCTCTCTCTCTCTCTCTCTGTTCATCTCTCTCTCTCTCTCTTTTTCTACTCTCTCTTCTCTCTTTTTCTATCTCTCTTTCTCTATTCATCTCGCTCTCCTCTCTTTCTCTCTCTCTCTCTCTCTCTCTCTCCTCTCTCTCTCTCTCCTCTCTCTCTCTCTCTCTCTCTCTCTCTCTCTTCTCTCTCTCTATCTATCTATCTATCTATAAATCTATCTATCTATCTATCTCTATCTCTCTCTCTCTCTCTCTTACGCACACAAACACATACTCGATTATTCTTACCACGTGAGATTGTACCTTCCTCTCGTAAGGCCGGGACATGAATGAAATAAGCAGCTTTCGGGTTTGTTTACTTTTGTGACGTCACGAGCACGTACGGCTTGATGAATGAGCTGAAGTTGCGTAAACAAAAATCATTGCAAGGTCGTTGCTCCTCATGCGAGTAAAGGAAGCAAGAAAGTTATATCTTCTCTTTTTGTTTATCTGACTCTCTCTCTCTCTCTCTCTCTCTCTCTCTCTCTCTCTCTCTCTCTCTCTTCTCTCCTCTCTCCTCTCTCTCTTCTTCTCTCTCTCCTTCTCTCTCTCTCTCTCTCTCTCTCTCTCTCTCTCTCTCTCTCTCTCTCTCTCTCTCTCTCTCTCTCTCTCTCTCTTCTCTCTCTCTCTCTCTCTCTCTCCTCTCTCTTCTATCTATCTATATCCCATCTATCTATCTATCCATCTATCTATCTCTATCTATCTCTCTATCTCCCTTTCTTTTTCTCTCTTTGAGTGCATGTCTCTATCCTTCACTTTCTCACGTTGCCAGATGGTTTGGTGTATCCTTCGTGGTGATTTGCAATTAGTTGGGAATTCCTATCCATAGCAGATAATGACCTACTTCCTAAGCATTATAAATATATGAATTGTAATGTTATATGGGAAGAAAAACGTTAATCAGTTATGTAAATTTGTATATTTTATTTCTAGAATTTTTCTCTTATTCTTAGTAATCAGTATAATTCATAATTACCAAAGAGGAGATTAAACCGACAATCAACCAGTGGCTAAATAAAGAGAATCTAAAATTAGATTAAAAAAAAATAATAATAACCATACTTAGAATTACCATTAAACTAACATGACTCATTTTCACCCAAAGGTCAGTGAACTCACTTTATATGCAAATTGTATTCTTTACATTCATTCTCTCATTTTTCAACATTGAAAGAGACCGAGTAAATAACCTAATTTGTGTCATGCCTTCGTCTCTATCCATAATCCTAGAAAAAAATAATAAATCAAGAAAATATACAAATATACGGTACTTCTAATCTATTTTAAGTTCGTTTACTAGCCCTTAAAATCAGAAATGACCTCGGAAGTGGAATAATCTGAGGACATAAAAAAGGGGTTGACCTCTCGTTATGAGTATCGGCTGTCACTCCGGAACACGATTCGGACATGAATTCGACTCTGCTTCACGAACCGGAGAGTTTTGCGTTGTTGTTGTTTCGACTCTGAAGGTGAATGTGTGGTGCGTGTGTGTTAGTGTGTGTGTGTGTTAGCGTTTGTGTGCGTGTATGTTATACGCGTGTATGTGCCGGCGTGTGTATTATGTATGTAGTGTGTTTGTGTGTGTGTGTTGTGCTTGTGTGTGTGTGTCTGTTGTGTGTGTGTTGTGCCCGTGCTGTGTGTGTGTGTTGCTTGTGTGTGTGTGTCTGTGTTGTGTGTGTCAGTATTTGCACTTGTGTTTGAATTGTACACCTACACAACCAACATAATAACCAATATGACATTATAATCAAAATCAACTTCATTTTACCCCCATTTTACCTCGCCAGCACCTCACCAAAACGACCCAAGAGATGCCAAAAACAACACCAAACGACAAACAGACCTCTGTCAATAAGCAAAACAATAACAAACCTTTCTCTCTCTCTTTTACGCCTCGAATTCTAGGTCTGGCCAGAGGAGCGCGTTACATCTACGGTCTGGACGGAAGAAGGAAATACAGAATTGAAGAACTTGAAGACGGCCAATCTTACGTGGTCTCTTCGGATCGGAAGTTTGTGGTAAGACAAAGAAAAAAAGATCCTATTTTCCTTTTCTATTAAGGGTTTTATTGCCCTGTCCCTGTGTAAGACAAAGATAAAGAAAAAATCCTATTTTCCTTTTCCATTAAGGGTTTTATTGCCCTGTCCTTGGTAAGACAAAGATAAAGAAAAAACCCTATTTTCCTTTTTCCATTAAGGTTTTATTGCCCTGTCCCTGTCGGTCTGTTATTTTTGGTATTGTTGTTATTGGGCTCTTCGGATCGGAAGTTTGTGACAAAGAAAAAAGATCCTATTTTCCTTTTCTGATTAAGGGTTTTATTGCCCTGTCCCTGTTGTTGGTTTGTTATTTTTTGTATTGGTGTTATTACGTGGTCTCTTCGGATCGGAAGTTGTGGTAGATAAAGAAAAAAAGATCCTATTTTCCTTTTCATTAAGGGTTTTATTGCCCTGTCCTTGTCTTTATTTTTTGGCATTTGTTGTTACGTGGTCTCTTCGGATCGGAAGTTTGTGGGTAAACAAAGAAAAAAAGATCCTATTTTCCTTTTCCATTAAGGTTTTATTGCCCTGTCCTGTTTCGGTCTGTTATTTTTTGCATTGTGTTTACGGTGGTCTCTTCGATCGTAAGTATAGTTTCCTTTTCTATTAAGGTTTTATTTTCTGTCCTTGTTGGTCTGTTTTTTTTTTTCTTTTTTTTTCCTTTCTTTTGGGGTGTGTGTTTTTTGTGGTCTCTTTAGATCGCGTTTGTAGTGAGTTGAAGAAGGATTTTTTTATTAAGGGTTTGTATTGTTCTGTTCCTATTATGTTATTTTTGTTATTGGTGTTGTTATCGTTGTTTGTTAGTGTTGATGCAATATTGCTGTTAGTAATATTAATTGTTTTTATTATTAATGTTGGTGTTATGTTGTTGTTAATGTTTTTACTTATTATTCTTATCATGTGATTATCTTGTATTATTGCTGTTGTCGATTTTGTAATCATTATTGTTGTTATTATCATTATTGATATATCATCATTTTGATTATGATTATCATAATTATTATCATTATTGTATTTTATATTCATTATTATCATTATTATCATTATTATTTATTATCATTATTATTGTATCTATTATTATTATTATTATTAGTTATCATCATATTATTATTATTATTATTATTATTATATATTATTATTATTATTTATTATTATTATTATTATTATTATCATTGTTATCATCATCATCATATTACTATCATTATCATCATCATCATTATTACTATCATTGATATCATCATCATCATCATTATCATAATCATTATTTTGTCACTGTAATTGCTATCATCATTCTTATTATCGTTAGTACCATTATCTTTATTACTATTGTTATTGACCTCACTATCATTATTATCATTGTATCCAATAATATTTTTATCATAATATTATCATTCGTCACTATGAACATTAATCTTATTACATTATTACCCCCATCATTATTATTACCAACATCACTTTCTAGGTCATATCACTAAAAATATTGGCTTTACGATAATGGTGAAGATAATACGTACGGTTTGATAATGAATATATGACTCGATATAAAGTACATGTTCAAAGTAATCAATAATATCTATGTTGCGTTCAATAATATCCTTCGAAGGTCCTTTTCTTTTATTCATTATCGTAATTATGTGTCAAAGTGTTGTTGTTATTGTTGTTGTTGTTTTATTGCAATATCTCGTTTTCTTTGGCTTATTATGT